GAGCCTCATACAGGAGAGCATGTAAAACATTTGAGGACTTTAACACTAATATCAGTGGACTAAATAAGTTCAAGGCATAGTGTAGCTATTATTCTTTTAAGTACATTTGTTATTGTTAAAAAACAAAACAAAAAAGTGGGCAGCTTCACTTATGCTCATTTAGATGAGCAATCTAAATACAAATACTCTCATAATTAGCTCATACCCACCATACAAGGTAACCCTTAAACTGCTGGGTGCGCCACAAATATCTCCTGGATTTTATAACCCAAATGTTGGCAGGTATGCAAATAGCATTTCTGTTTGATTATTTTTAGACTCTCACTGAAGATGGCATACGTCTTTTTCTGTTATCAGACCCAATAAAATATTGAGTTAACGGTGAAAATCTATGGTCTTCCTTTTTTATTTTAATCAAAGAGAAGCATTGATAAGGAAATCGTTTAAGAATTGAATCGATAAGCAGAATCGATAATGGCATCAATGTCGATAAAATCTTATCAATTCCCATCCCTAAGGAAGGATGGACCGTCATATCGTGCCAAGGAGGGTGCACGATCAATAAGATTAAACACCTCCGGGTAGAAATAACTGAGTGCCCCGTCTTTGACACGCTGCACCGGTCTTCCTCTAACCAGTCAGAATTGGATAAGTAAAACAATCAATTACATCTGCCTTCTGCTAACATTGAAGTGGCAAACAAATTGTACTGTATACAGTGGGTCAACTTAAATATCCAACTATTGTAGGCCTGTGTACTTTTTTATAGACAAACAGCCTGAGTCACAGATTGATATTTATATGCTGGTTGAAAAAAAGCCCTCTCAGAAATTCATAGTAAAGTTCATGAAATGTTCATATAATTTAAAAATTCACAGAGAACTTTAGACATTTCCTCCAAAAAGAACTCTGGTTAGTGCCCTCATTTAAACCATGCATTTTTTTATCCTGCTTTTTTTTTAAGTAGATTTTTTTGTTGCGATTTTAGCCTTTTATTGACAGGAAAGTGAAATGTGGGGAGACAGAGAGTGTAATGTTGCTTGAATGTGTGTTGTGCTGCTTGAATGCCTCTTACTGAAGTGTTTTTGCGCTCTAGTGTAAGTTGTTTACATCACGTTGCCATGGCAACACGTAGCCGGCGAGTCACCGAGAAACAGGAAGTTATTGAGCGCAGATTCGCGAGGTCCGTCAGCTGTTCAGCTCTAATCTCCTCTCCTTTCCTCCGTTTTCATCCCTCTAGTCCATGCAACGTCTGTAAGTGCTCATACGTTGTTGTATTAAGATGAAGGTTGTTTAAGTGTAATTAAGTTGTTAAAACGGCTATGGCGCTAATCGCTAATGCTACCCGAACTTAGCTTCATGTTTTTCGTTGCTAGTGGCATTCTAGCTCGTTTGTGATTATATCGGCTAAAGCTAATGTAGCTTAGCTCTACTGCTTGTCTGTGTGTAAGCCGTAACTCATTGTTTTATATGTTACTGTATCATTTCAGTTTCACAAGATTCCTCAGTAAACTTGAAGAGGTGAATCAACTGCGTCTGAGGGTTTATTGGGGAGTGTTTATACTGCTTGGAAGTAGCCCATGACAGTGAAAAGACGGCAGTACGACAAACGAGGGACACAAGAATTGCTACCTAACAGAGCGACTCCATATCAAGAGATAAGCAGCTAACTCTACAGCTCCCAGACAGCTTCACGTTGGCCTCCTTCTCCCGATATTGGAAACACAGTGAAAAGACGGCAGTACGACGAACGAGGGACACAAGAATTGCTACCTAACAGAGCGACTCCATATCAAGAGATAAGCAACTAACTCTAACAACACAAGCCGAGCACAAGCTGCTACACCCACTGAAACTGTGCAAGGTCAAGACCCTCAACCCTTTCAGATCAGCGGTGCACCACCACAGCAAAGACTTAACCAGCCTCTTAGCCACAGTCCAACTTTTCAACCTCGTGAGGAACGCTCACGACAGAACTTCAACATGGATCCTCCATGTCCTGCTCTCCAGTCCGCTCACAGGATATCCAACGGAGCCAGCCAAGATTATCCTGCACCCACCGGAGACCTCATCAAACACCTCGCTCGTAACTGCCTGGTTACTTCGGGCCTCACCGTATATGATGAACAGCCAATGAACTATTGGGCCTGGAAAACATCGTTCCAAAATGCTATTGCCGACCTTGATCTGTCTGCTGCTGAAGAACTCGACCTCCTCACAAAGCACCTGGGAAAAGAGTCAGCGGAGCAGGTGAGAAGAATAAGAACAGTTAATATTAGGGATCAAATTACTGGACTGTACATGGAATGGAGATGTCTCGATGAAGTATACGGCTCACCAGAGGCCGTTGAACAGGCTTTATTCAATAAACTAGAGAGCTTTCCAAAGGTCACAATGAAGGATCCACAGAAACTCAGGGATCTAGCCGACCTGCTGTCTGAGTTGCAAGCTGCTAAGGAAGACGGCTATCTTGCAGGCTTGTCATATTTGGACACTTCCAGAGGAATCAGACGTATTATCGAGAAACTCCCCTACAACTTGCAAGAAAAATGGTTGTATTTCGGGACAAGATACAAACAGGAGCACTTGGTCACCTTCCCACCTTTTTGTGTACTAGTGAACTTCATCTCTACAGAAGCAAGAGCTCGCACAGATCCAAGCTTCAACTTCTTCGCTCAAGCCCAAGTGCCAGCAGAGAGAAAGAATAAGTGGGAGAGGCCAGCAAAAACATCCGTATACGTCCACAAGACGCAGGTTTCAGGAACTGCTAATACTGAATCTAGAGAAGGTACAGAACGAATCGATCCCAACAAACACTGCCCTCTGCATAAAAAGCCCCACCCTTTGAGGAAGTGCAGAGGCTTCCGTGAGAAGAGCATAAATGATTGCAAGCAGCTTTTGAAAGAGCATTACATCTGTTTTCGCTGTTGCTCCTCAACAGAGCATCTTGCAAAGAACTGCACAGTTGAGATAAAATGTACAGAGTGCGAAAGCACTGCTCATGTAACAGCACTTCACCCCAACTCACCTACTTGGAAATCCAAGTCGTTCCCTTCCACTTCAGAGGATGGCGGGGAGGAGGACAAAGCGGACAGCAAGGAGGTCAAGTTGATGTGCACACAGGTATGCGTTGAAGGATTGAGTGCCAGAGCATTTGCTGAGATCTGTCTCGTTAGCGTGTTCCCGAATGGATTCAGGGAGGAGTCTAAGAGAATGTACGCCATATTAGACGAACAGAGCAACCGCTCCCTGGCACGGTCTGAGTTCTTGGAAATTTTCAAGATCTCCGGAAGCTCCTATTCTTATACACTCAAGACCTGTGCAGGCCGTACAGAGACGGCGGGGAGGAGAGCCATCGGTTACACAGTAAAGTCGGTGGATAAAGAAGTAAGCATTCCTTTGCCTACACTCCTCGAGTGCAATCAAATCCCTAACGTCCGCACCGAGATCCCTACACCAGATGCAGCTTACCATCATGCCCATCTGAAACACATCGCCGACAAGATTCCGCCCTTAGATCCTGATGCCAAAATACTCCTCTTACTAGGCAGAGACATCTTAAGGGTCCACAAGGTCCGAGAGCAGATAAGCGGTCCTGGAGATGCACCGTTTGGTCAAAGGCTTGACCTAGGATGGGTTGTCGTCTGTGACGTGTGCCTTGGAGGCGCTCATAAACAACCCGAGGTCAGAAGTTATAAAACAGCCATCTTAGAGAATGGTCGTGCGAGTCATCTTCAGCCATGTGACAACCACATCAGAGTGAAAGAGGTATTTGGTCAAGCACCTAAACATCAACATTATCCGGCACCAACTTCCACCTGCGGCTTGATGAGCCTCACTGGAGACTGCTTGGGTCAGACCGTCTTCGCTCGTTCTCTTGATGACCACAGACTGGCTCCATCCATGGAAGATTTAGAGTTTCTTAGGATAATGGAGTCTGGGTGCTATCAGGACAGCTCCAAAAGCTGGGTTGCACCGTTACCCTTTCGGTCGCCGAGACAGCGACTGCCCAATAACAGGAAACAAGCTTTTGACCGTCTTGTCTCACTCCAGCGCTCGTTGGAAAAACCACCACAGATGAAAGCTGACTTCCTAGAGTTTATGAAAAAGATGCTTAAGAAGGTGCACGCAGAAGTTGCCCCGCCGGTGCAGCCTGGACAAGAGTGCTGGTATCTGCCCCTGTTTGGGGTGTATCATCCCAGGAAGCCGGATAAGATAAGATTCGTCTTCGACAGCAGCGCATCGTGTGAAGGAGTATCACTCATGTTTTGCTCACCGGCCCTGACCTTAATAATAGCCTGTTAGGTGTTCTTTTGAGGTTCAGGAAGGAACAAGTGGCGATCACTGCAGACATCGAGCACATGTTTCATTGCTTCATTGTGAAGGAGGACCACCGTGACTTCCTCCGCTTCCTGTGGTATAGGAACAATGATCCAACCTCCGACATCATGGACTATAGAATGCGGGTCCACCTTTTTGGGAACAGTCCATCGCCTGCCATTGCAGTGTATGGTTTGCGACAGGCAGCCAAAGAAGCAGAAGCCGACTATGGAAGCGACGCAAGAAAATTCATTGACCGTGAGTCCTACGTTGATGACGCTTTTAAGTCCTTTAGCTCAGAGGAAGAAGCCATCAGTGTCCTTGGGCGAGCACAGAAGATGCTTGCAGCCTCTAACCTCAGGCTTCACAAAATTGCTTCAAATTGGCCTGCAGTCATCAAAGCATTCCCACCCGAAGATCGATCCAAGGACGTCAACAGCCTAGATCTCTTCGTTGATGATTTGCCCATCCAACGTAGCCTTGGATTGGCCTGGGACATGCATACAGACACCTTCATGTTTCAGATTGGAGACGACCAGAAGCCGTTCACCCGCAGAGGGGTGCTCTCGACGGTGAATAGCCTCTACGATCCGCTAGGGTTCCTCGCACCCATCACGGTTCATGGAAGACTGATTCTCAGAGAACTCACCGTGGCAGCAGAGGACTTGAGAGCCCTGTACTCACGCATCATCGATGTACTCCCGAGCCAGCCATGCAAAACGGTCTTTGCAAATGTTGCACTGAACGCCTTCCTTTTCAGTCTTGGTGAAGTTTTCCCACACCACTGATGTTTTAGGTCGGGATTTGGGTTGGGTTGTGTCCATGTTTTTCTCAGCCGCTGCCTCGGCCATGGCTGTTTCTTTTCTGTGCGTCCTGCTGATGTTTACACGCCGGTGTCCATGGACATATATAAAGACCCGACGAATCGATTACAGAATTTGTTGGCAACGGATTTTTTCGTCACGACGAATCTACTTAATCGATTCGTTGTTGCAGCCTTAATAGTTTATTTAATGTTACAAGAGCATTATAATCTTTGAATTTAGAATTACAAATAATAATAATAATAATAATAATATAAAATAAAATGCAATTAAGTATTTATTATTTATTTTCCAAATCCATTGGGAGCCGCAGCTTAGGGAAGAAAGAGCCGCATGCGGCTCCAGAGCCGCGGGTTGCCGACCCCTGGTCTAGGAGATTCTATGTTTACGTACACAACAGAATCCAGTTAATCCATCAATCACCTTGTTCTGGTCAGTGGAAATACGTCCCAACGCACCTCAACCCAGCTGACATTGGGTCAAGAACTGTGACACCAGCCCTGCTTAGTAGCACAACGTGGCTCACAGGACCAGCCTTTCTCCATGATGTGTCTCTACAGTCATCTGAGTTTCAGGAGACCTACGACCTTATCGACCCTGACACCGACTCTGAGGTACGTTCTCAGGTCCTGACAAGTTTCACGCATGTTACCAGAGATGTGGTACATCCACAGCGTTTTGAACGTTTCTCCAAGTTCAGCACTCTCCTCACAGCCATGGCCCACCTCATCCACATAGCTCGTTCCTTCGCTCACTCTGCTCAGAATGGATGTCAGGGGTGGCACATCTGTCTTCCTACAGGAGAAGAGCTATTTAAAGCTAAAGTGTGCATTGTGAAGAGTGTTCAGAACGAGTGCTATGCAGAAGAACTTAAGTGCATCAACTCAGGGTCTAACATTCCATACTCCAGCAGCCTGTGGAAGTTGCATTCCACCATGGACCAAGATCAACTTCTCAGAGTCGGGGGCCGAATTGGCCAGTCAGGTTTCACCATGAATGAGACTAACCCCGTCATTATTCCCGGTCGGCATCATCTTGCATACCTGCTTGTGTCTCACTACCACAAAGCGGTGAAACACCAGTGAAGACATCTGACTGAAGGTGCCATTCGCGCAGCAGGGTTCTGGCTGGTAGGAGCCAAACGCTGCATCAGCAGTCTGCTTCACAGATGTATCATCTGCAGAAAGCTGAGGGGAAAGACGGAACATCAGCAGATGGCAGCCTTGCCAGCAGAACGACTACAAGTGGCACCTCCTTTCACTTATGTAGGCGTCGACGTTTTTGGACCATGGGACATCGTCACACGCCGCACAAGAGGAGGAGCCTCCAACTCCAAACGATGGGCCGTGATGTTCTCGTGCATGTGTTCAAGAGCAGTTCACATCGAGATAATTGAGGCAATGAGTTCCAGCAGCTTCATCAACGCCTTGAGGAGGTTCTTCGCCATCAGAGGGCCAGCGACACAAATCCGCTCTGACTGCAGCACTAACTTCATCGGTGCCTCCCGCGAACTGGAGATGGACATGACCAATCCAGGTTTCAACAGTGTGGAAAAGTACCTGAACACACACAGCTGCACATGGGTGTTTAACCCGCAGCACGCGTCTCATATGGGGGGCGCATGGGAACGAATGATTGGCATCGCCCGCCGTATTTTGGACTGCATGCTGCTTGAGCAAAGGAAGTCTCACCTGACGCATGAAGTTCTGACGACGCTTATGGCAGAAGTAGCAGCTATTATGAACGCTAGACCCCTCATCCCTGTGTCATCGGATCCGGAATCCCCTCTCATCCTCACCCCAGCAACGCTTTTGACTCTTAAGACAGGCTCTTCGCCCCCTCCTCCATCAGATGGATTTAAAGAAGTGGATCTCATCAGAGAGGAGTGGAAGCGGGTTCAAAGCCTCGCAGACACGTTTTGGAACAGGTGGAGGCATGAATATCTCAAAACGCTGCAGCTTCGACACAAGTGGCAGGAGAAACAGCCGAGCCTCCAGGACGGAGACATAGTTCTTCTTAAAGACAATCAAGCAAAGAGGAACCAATGGCCAATGGCTGTCACCTCAAAGACCTTTCCAGGCGAAGATGGTCTGGTTCGAAAAATAGAAGTGGACATTGTCAAGGACGGAAGCAGGAAGACGTTTCTTCGACCTGCTACAGAAGTTGTCCTGCTTTTCTCTCCAAAGACTGAGACTGTTTGTTGATGTGGGTTCTTTAGAGAACCCAAGCGGGGAGTGTAATGTTGCTTGAATGTGTGTTGTGCTGCTTGAATGCCTCTTACTGAAGTGTTTTTGCGCTCTAGTGTGAGTTGTTTACATCACGTTGCCATGGCAACACGTAGCCGGCGAGTCACCGAGAAACAGGAAGTTATTGAGCGCAGATTCGCGAGGTCCGTCAGCAGTTCAGCTCTAAGCTCCTCTCCTTTCCTCCGTTTTCATCCCTCTAGTCCATGCAACGTCTGTAAGTGTTCGTATGTTGATGAAGGTTGTTTAAGTGTAATTAAGTTGTTAAAATGGCTATGGCGCTAATCGCTAATGCTACCCGAACTTAGCTTCATGTTTTTCGTTGCTAGTGGCATTCTAGCTCGTTTGTGATTATATCGGCTAAAGCTAATGTAGCTTAGCTCTACTGCTTGTCTGTGTATAAGCCGTAACTCATTGTTTTATATGTTACTGTATCATTTCAGTTTCACAAGATTCCTCAGTAAACTTGAAGAGGTGAATCAACTGCGTCTGAGAGTTTATTGGGGAGTGTTTATACTGCTTGGAAGTAGCCCATGACAGAGAGAGAGGGGGGAAGAAAATGCAGCACATGGTCGGTGCTGGATTCCAGTCTGCGACCACTGCAGGGACTGTGGTCCCCATATATGGGGCACGCTAACCTGCTCAACCATCTGCACGCCCCTTTTTTCCTGCCTTTTAAAAGAATTAAAATAGAGAATCATTCTTAACCAGAACTGAAACGATGCCAAACCTTAGACACCAGGGTATTGTTATACCGTGGCTCATGCAGACGGACATGAGGCAAAACGGACATGCAGATAAGTGTTCATAAATTAATCATTTTTTAACATTTTTTTTTACTTTTTTCGACTCATATCTCTTAGACAACTTCAGCCCTGATCATTAAAAAAATAATGAGTAGAAAATTGATGTATTACCCTTTTTATGCCAGTTTTTAACGGTAAAAACACAAAACCGCCATATGTCCCATATAAAATGACCTAGATTAATTTTTTTTTGATAAATAGAGTCTAAATAAATAGAGGCCATATCAATGATGAGAAGAAAAAACGATCTTGGCGCATTAAAATTCTTTTTGTAGTGCAATTTTTTTTGTATCTGAAGCTCCATCCAGCTTACTCTGTCCCCCAAACTGACATGCAGATAAGTGTTCATAAAATAATAATTTTCAAACAATTTTTCTTTTTTCTTCTTTTTTGGACTCAGATCTCTTTAACATCTCTAGCCCTAACCATAAAAAATTAATGAATAACAAATTTGATGCATTTATACCAGTTTTTGTGCAACATGTCATATTTATTCATAAAGTGTGCGTTCTAAACAGCTGAGTCTATTGGAGCAGAAAAACATGCCATTTTCACCTCCTTTTCTCGAGCCTCGTCCTCTACCAAACCAAATGTGACCGAATTCATTTCTTCATTATAAATTAATTTTATATGTTTATAAGCATATAAAATCAGAAGATATATGTAAGATAGGAATAATTTACAAGTGGTTAAGATAAGATAAGATAAGAATTTTATTAATCCCTGAAGGGAAATTCAATTGTCTGTTGTCTCACATAATATGTCTCTAAAAGTAATCTATTATTTACACGAGTTATAAAGCCTGATGGCTGTTGGTACAAAAGATCTTCTGAATCTGAAAAGAGAGAGGAGCCGTCCACCACCATTGGCCCTTTAGTCCATCAAGGTGTTGTGAAGTGGGTGATCCATGTTCTTTAGAATAGTCTCCACCTTCCTCAGTTTAGATCGCTCCACCACATCCTTCACTGAGTCCAGCTTAAGTCCAACCACAGCCTTTTTCAGTAGTTTGTTAAGACGTCCTGCATCTTTGTGTTTGATTGTTCCTCCCCAGCAGACTGCAGCGTAGAACAGAACACTTGCCACCACAGACTGATAAAACATCTGCAGCATCTTACTACAGATGTCTATTGATTGGAGTCTTCTCAGGCAAAAGAGGCGGCTCTGCCCCTTTTTGTAGATATAGGGCTCTATTTTGGTGCCTCGCCGGACACGTGCCGCAAGCGCAGAGTCAATCAGATCCGCCGCGCTGACAAGGCGTTCCCAAGCACATTTTGGTATTTTGGTGAGCCGCGCAGCCCGGTGTAAGTATCCCCCCTCCCTAACTCAGCTCCTCCCGGCAGCATAAATCATAGACGGGGAGGAGAGAGGGCGTATAGGAGGTTTAACACAGCCGAGACCTGTTTTCACCAATCACATTAGCTCCTCTCCTCGCCTTTAAATCCGCCACAGGCGAGGCGTATTACTATTTTCATGAAGTAGTCAAAGAGATCAAGAGATGTCTGAAGACAGTTATGCCACACGATGGCGACAGAGGGCAGCTGCTCAACAAGTGTCCTCCACACTCTCTCATCTGAGCACAGATGGATTCGGTGTGCGTAATGTTGGACCCACTGGTAAGACAAACACCCTTTTCCACAAATAAAGACACTCACATAAAGTTGCATATATTCAAACCTCACGTGACAAAGGTGGGTTGAGCGCACAGATCACAACATAAACTCCAAAAAGGCATTAAAATCGGAACCATCTGTGCGTAAATGACGCATCGCGCTCCGTGGCCTGGCTCTTTCTTTCATAGATGTTGGCATATAAAATAAATTTGGCTCACAAAACTGAATATTATAATATCCGTATGTAGCAATCAAGACAACCCTGGGTGTGAATCTCACACATTCCTCACAGGAAAGTTTTTCTTATCTGGTCCCAGGAAACAGGATATAAATCTTTCCAGACTTGTTTGCACTTTCAGGTTTACCTA